CCTTCAGGCTCTAGTCCTTCTCAGTCTTCTGGTATTAACTCATACCCTTACATGGTTGTTTTTTCATTTTATGTCTGCATAAGTACAAGAATTTTAAATCAACTTGATCTGAAGTTCCTTTATACGTGGCGTTTGAAAGTTTTCGACTCTTTATAAGTATCCATTTGATCATTTCTCTGTTGTTCTCCATGACCTTGATCCTGTGTCGGCATAGTTTGAGGTTTAGGAGTGCCTATTGCAAACACTATTTTTTGGTCCAGACCGTGCTTCTATTTTATGTTTGGATTCTTTTGAATATGGCTCCTAAATGTTTTATTTTACATTGGATTTGTGATGCTGATCTTCACTGTTCTGCTTTTATAGGTCCAATCCATCAAATGGATCGACAGCCTGGGAAAAAAATGGTATATATCTTGTTTGTTGATCATTCAGGCCCATTTTCTTTTTCGGTAAATGGGATTAGACCATCCTACCCAACAAAGAGTAGTCGATAAATAATTCGGGTTCCCTTTTCATAGGAATACAAGAGCTGCGGCGTTCATAGGAGGGGATAGGTTTTGGAGTGAATTCTTTGCATCTTTTCATCTGGTTTTTATAGTTCATAGTACCTTTTTTATGTAGAAAATTGCATGCGGAAGTAGGATCTGTGGCAGCAGAAGCATATGCCTAGACGCCTAATTTATTAAAAGTGCATATACTGATTTATAGGGCTCCGCTTTGCAGTTAGGAATAATCTCATGTCTACGCTACCTGTATTACTCTTATAATTGATCTCATTTCTGCTTGAACATTCAGTGCTGCAAAGTTATTAATCAACAGAGTCTTTACTAAGGCTATTCTGTCTATTTTGCTTCTATTGATTCTATTAAGGATAAAATCATGACTAAACAGCCATATTTTAGCCAGTAATTTGTTTAAAGTATAGCATTACGTCTAAATAAGGCCACTTTATTTGACTTTTGTTTTTTGTCGAGGAACTCTTTCAGGATTAAAGTTGAGTTAGTCCTCCAAGTCTTATTTATCCTCTTTGTTTCCTGTAGGCAGTTGAAGTCCAAAATCAGGACTACTCTCACTTTGTATCGCTTCCATTAGCCATATATCCTGAACTGGTCAATAAACTCATCAACTTTCAGAACTCAGTTCTTGGAATTACTGAAGTGTCTAAGTCTCCTACCTCAGAATCAAAGGCTTCAGAACTATTAGGTATAAAATTCTATATATTGTGTTAATTTTCTTAAGGGCAGGATCGCTAAAATCCCCGTAAACTTGGCATGGGTTATTAGTTGCACATAGTCTTAATTACCCTTGCACTTGGATATTTGACAGCATTTAACCCCTGGATAATCTCATCTCCAGGAAGTGACATAAATGCTCTTGCTACGCTCTTTGCATCTCAGCATCTTAGGAGAATTAAACAATTGGAGTAAATAAACCATTGTAATGACTGTCAAGTAACGGGTGGAAAATACCCCACCTCTAGCTGATTCTTCAATTTCTCGTCACTCGCACTCACCTAAGCTCTTTGCCATGTCAGCATCATAGGGGATAAGTACTATCAAATAGCCAAGTCCAGGCGTAACTAAGATTACGAATAGTTCAGATGTGCTACTGATAATTCGTGTCAAGTTGGCTATTAGATATTTTGCCTTGATTAAAAGATGAAGAGAGAAAAAAGATTCATGTACTAATGTTGTTGTAAAGCTGAAAATTCTTATCTCTTCATTTCCTTATGTTTATTTAATATCTATCCCTATGTTTTTAATCTCTGACAAAATTGACCAATGTTTTTCCACTCAACAGAGTTGGGAATTGAGAAGTCCATCTTTATTAATCCAAAAACATTCCACTTGACTGTGCTCATGCTGAAGCTTTGGAATAAGGACCGTTTTGAAGCAGCTGCTCAGGTTTTGCGGGTAAACATTTCTACTTTAATGGCCATTTTGTCCATTTGTAATATCTTTCTCTTTTAACTTTTCAAAATAAACCAGAGTGTCTCACCAAAAGTACTTGATGCTTTGGAGAGCCGACCTGTATCTATAAGACTGAAGGGCTTGGTAAGTATTTATCCAAGTTATACAATTATGCACTTCAGGCTGCTATAGTTGATAACCATTACATGTTAATTCTTATCTGTGTAAATTATATCATCTCCTAATTGAAGCTAATTTTATTTTGTACACAGCTGGTTTAGTTATGACATTTTAACTGGCATCATAACCCTTTCCCTTGAAATTTATCTGTGGAGTTCGTATTTGCTTATTTGCTTGCAATCAATCTTTGGGTGAATCATCTTCATAAAAAAGTATAGGTTAACGCACAAGAAGTGGATAACCTATTATTCGGGTAGGTCAAATAATGGGGCGGGTATATTATACCCGGATGTAATGACTACAACAAATAGCCACGTGACCCAGTAATATGTTGCCAACGCATTAAACGCGGCCCCACCTATTGCGCAGTAGCGAGAGGGGTAATTTTAAGCCTAGAAATAACATTGTGTGTATTTATGGACCAAAAGGTGGATGGATGGTAATTTTAGACCATTTACCAAACAATAGGGGTAGTTTTGGCCCTTTTCCGTAAGAAAAATGATCAAAGCACCGTCTGCCACTACTCATCCCAGCTCATATAAGTAGAGTTCAATAATGAAGAAATATGGAAAGATGTTGTAGATTGAGCAGAAGCTGATTAATGGTTTTCTTGCTGTAGCATCACTATTAATGCATTTCACTATTAATGGCCATCTTGATGCAGTAAACATAATTCGGATCTAGGATTCATTGAACAAAGTAAGAGAGGAGGGAAAGGATACAATGGAAGGATAGCCTAGTGGTAAGGAATCTCCACCTACCGTAAGATTGTTGGTTTAAGTCACCAAGAGAGCAAAGTAGGAAAGGATCACTCCTTGGCTCATAGTTCTCGAATGAACATTGAAGGAAGACATCTAAGAGCAAATCACCTTTCAGTATTCACAATTTTTAGCATCTTGAGCCTAAGATTATTGCAACTGTCAAATTGGAAATTTTCGTATTGTGTTACAGAAACGAATGTTTTTATATTGTGTAGGTTCATATGCATGAAGATCATCTATATTTTGTTTTTTCAGTATTAAATATTGTCTAAATTTAACTTGCACTTTATCTTTTACTTCAAAAACAAAATGATAGATCTCGTATTAGAGATACTTGAAATGTCCAACTATAAGGTTCGAATAAATTTGAGTTGTCACCTGACGTGTTTGTTCCTTTTTTTCTTTTATAACTATACATGTTTTGAATGTGATGTAATTTTCCCATGCACCGCAAAATTTCAATATTTTGTTGTGCCATGTAAAATAACTCGAGTTAACTTAATCAATTTAGTTGTACTTCGCTAGTGACTTTTTCTTTGGCTTTTTCCTTTTTGGAGAGTAATTGCGGGGCTTGCAGTATGTGTTTACCTCAGATATGCATACGGTCCTCTCAGATTTTATTTTATGGATTCTGATGTCTATTCAGATATGCATACGGTCCACTCAGATTTTATTTTATGGATTCTGATGTCTATTCAGATATGCATACGGTCCACTCAGATTTTATTTTATGGATTCTGATGTCTATTTGTTGTGCTATAGCAGTTTGCTAGTTTCAAATATTTTCTTGTGGTTTGATGATTTTCTCTCACGGGCTAATAAGTTAATGGCTTGGGGAAACACTAAAAGAAGAAAGAAAACCTCTCCAAACAGGATACAAGAATTAGTAGTGATATTACAGTTAATATTCTGTAGCGAAACAATGCCAATTGATGAGGAAACATAGATCAGGCCTGCCTTGAGTTTATATGCTTAAAAGTTAAAAGTATTACCAAAAAAATGACAACGCGTGAGAGTGGAAATGTGAATTAGCAAATAGATTTCTGTAATTTTTTAACTCCGAAACAAACAATTGGTAAATGTGTATTAGAGCCTTCAACTGTGCCACTGGTAGCAATGTTGACCCACTTATATTGTATCTAGAGAATGCATTTTCCTTGTCATGTGACACCAATCTCTTTTTATTTTTGCTTCTTCAATTGTTGGTCTGTGTATGTGTGTGTCAAGAGAGAATGAGAGTGAGAGACTACATATCATATAGATTTTAGATGCTGCATGTTTCTGGCCTGTTGATTCTAATGAGATTTCACAAGGTCACAATTTTTCATGGCCGGAACTCAGATTTGTTCTTACCCTACAGGAGTGCATGAGAGGTTCTCCGGCAAAAGCTTATGTTGTATATGCTCCTGTGGAAGTAATTGGTGGTGAAGCCCGACTTTTACGTGCTTGTCGTATCCACAATTTCTGGCATCTTCTTCCCTTACTGTACCCACTAATTTTAATTTCTCTGCATGTGTCATTTCTAAGGGAATTTATACCTGCATTTGTCATTCCTTAGCCTTTCTAGAGGTCATCATTGATGCATTTACTGAAGCTGGCCTTGTTCTTGAAAAAGATGCAAACCGGAAGTTAAAGGTATAGCTTTAAAGGTGTTAATTCTTTATTCTGGTTAATTTTGTTGGCAGTGCCTTTATTGTTTGTCGATTAGGACTCTATATCTGTTGATACTGCGTTCAAATGTATTGACAATTCAATCTAGTGCTGCTTCTTCCTTGCTATTCCTTCCCCACCGACCCTTCCACTTTCTTTTTTCATAAAAGCAATTTATTCATCGCAAGCGTCTAAAAGCGCCCCAGGGCTTTGGTCTAGTGGTACAAAAGCCAGATAATTAAGTGGAGAAGGATTGAGGGGCAGACTCATTAGCTACCAAGTTTCGAACTTTGCACCACTTGGCCCCCGGGGATTTCTCGGCTATCCTAAAAAAGCAAGGGCCTAAAATCATAAGGCACACGGTAGAGGATCTCTTAATACAACCTGAAATGGTTCGACCCTATTTTGGAAAGGGAAGCAGTTCATTCACCACCAAGAGTCAATATGGCTGCATCCATTTTAATTCTGACACTTCTTCGAATTCAGAACTCTCGAACCGTAACACATTTCTCACCTCCTGCATTCCAACTTTGTATGCCTGTAACTTGTTTCTTCAGTTGCATTTTGCTTGCTGGTGCTTTCTTANAAAAAAAAAAAGTTTTTAGACTTGCACTTGATACACTTACTTTTCTAGAGGTATTCTATAGTCTCTGGTGGCCTTTTTCCTTTTAGATTTGATACCAGAATGCTTGTATAGCTTATCCATGATTATTTTTTTTTTGCTACTTTTGTGTTTTGAAAGTTCCTGATCAGCCTTTTCTGCCCTTTCTAATACAGTTACATGCAACTATAATGAATGTGCGACACAGCAGAAGGTGCCATTTTTAATTCTTTCATTGCATAGTCTTGTTTATTAGTCGGCTTAAAGTCTCTATCATGATGCTACCAGTTGTATAACTCTCTTTGTTGTTAAGGTTGCCACTGACTTACTGTTCTCTAATTGGTAGCAAAAATAGATCAGGATATGCTGATCCCTTTGATGCACGAGCAATTTTTGATCAGTATGGCTCGGAAGAATGGGGAGAGTGTCTTTTACGTGAAGCTCATCTTTCACAAAGGTTTGTGTATGGTGACAATGGCTATTACCATTGCTGTGAATCCATCCCATTTCCTGAAGGGATGTAGCCATGTAGGGTGTGTTTGGTATGAAGAAAAATATCTTCAAGAAAATATTTCCTATGGGAAAATGAGTGAGTTTCTCTCATATTTTCTAGTGTTTGGTAAGTAAACATTGTGAATATGTCATGTATAGTAGTTGGTGAAGACATTTTATATAATTTCTCGTTAATCTGTACATATTTGGACCTATTTTAGTAACAATTTTATTTGTTGCTGAAATTTTATTGTATTGTAAAATTTGTTGGTATGTAATAACGAGAAGACCCATTTTTATGTAACGACTCATTTGGTGTGATTCGATTGTTATGTTCTTTTTTTTCGAGTTATGTTACTTATTATTTCATAGTTCTATTTTTCTGTTTAACTTCACCTTATACGTATTAGACATCTAGTTCGTTTGCTGCTTCATTTTTCTATTTATCTCTTTTAGCATTCTCACCTACGTTTTCTATGCTAAGACCCTCTTTATTGGTTTTGGTTGACCATTGTACGTTTGATTAATTTCGTTAGGATTTTGGTGAATTTAATATTTTAAAATATTTACGAGGCTTGGTCATAAATTAAGAAATTGAGATGTCTTAAATTATTCTGTAATCGTTGATAAATTTAATACTTGTAGTAATTAGGGTATTAGTAAGCTTATTAGTTATCATACAATTCTATACAATTAAATAAAGCAATAAAATATTATTAAACTACATCAAGCGATATAATCTATTCAAATATTTTTAAAAAATAATATATTAGGAAACAATGAGTACAAACATCGAATCTCCAATCAACACGTGAGGGATGGAGTAAGGACTTAGAGGATTTGTAATACTTGGAGGAATCTTATAAAATTGAAGTTGCTTAATAGATTGTCGATTCTAATAGTCGATTCTAGCAAGTTCAAATCCTTCACTATCATATAGATGAAAACAGAGGGGAGTAGAATTTGAGGAAAGAGTGTTCATCGACCACTAGTTCGTAAATTGAATTGCTTAGTTCTGATTATAAGTGGTAAACGGGCGGGTCGGGTCGAAAATAGGTAATGAAAAAACGAATAAATTATCTGACCAGATCCATATTTAGTACGGATAAAAAACGGGTTAACTAGCGTCTAGCGGATAATATGGTACCTATATTATATATTTGTGACTTCTTGATTATGATCACTTTTGTGAAAATTCATAGTCACCCAAACTTGAGGAACCCTAATTTGAAGCTTTACAAATGTAAAAGTTAAACCCATTAATTATCCATTTTCTCAATGGATAATATGATTCTTATCCACATTTGAGCCGTTTTTAAAAAGTTCATTATCCAACTTATTTATTAGTGGATAATATGGATAGTTAATTATTTTCTTTTAACCGTTTTGACACCACTAGTTCTCATCATGCATTGGGGTAATTCTGGAAATCATGTCACAAGTTTTAATTTTACGAAAACGGACCCTTTTATAGCATTTAGAGTGAAGCTAAACAAATTGAACAACATCAATAAAATGATCATAGATTGAGGAGTGTTAACCTAATGGGAAGATATATTGTATCAATATTTATATCTATACTTCTATACTACTATATTAAAAGTACGAATCCCTTAGCGAAATATCGTTGTATTTTTTGTCCTTTAAAATTTAATTTCACATTAGACAAAAACGTCATTTACTCATTTTCCTAATATTTAGGACTTTGAAATATAGATTTTCCTTATTGGACTATATAAAAATTCCTAATATTTAAGAATTTAAAATCAAAAAAATATGTAACTTATATAAATACATTACTTATTCCCATTTAGGTGAACTAACTATTAGCGTGTCATTATCTTTATGAATATGTTTCTTCCATACAGAAAAGGAAATTTTTAATGTTAAAAGTTAATCCCCTCACGTAAATTATAGACATATACTTTATTTTATAAATATGACTATATTTCTACCTCAAAACACAAACAAACCTGAACATTTATAAAACTTAGAAATACAAACAACGCCAACAATCATATTTATTGGAAATCGACAGGAATTTTATTTGGCTTTGGACACAGAATTTCTTTTGAAAACTATCAATTTGGGTATATATTATATGTCAATTTTAAAAAATAAATATTCTGAAAGTAGAAAAATGACTATTAACGTTTACTTTTATAACTTAAACATAAATTTTAAAATAATGCTTATGAGACTTTTAATTTAATTTAATTTTTTTAGAAGAATTTTACGCGCGACGCACGTACTCTAAGACTAGTTTCAATAAACGCATGAACTTTATAAATAGAGGAGCAAAACTATAGGTTATTATCCTCAGAATAGTTTTGTTAGTGAGTATGGTGTTGTTAGCCACTCTCAATTTGTCCCTGACTTATAGTATTCAGTTCAATTTTTTGGGACACGAGTCTTGAAATTAAGATTTTTAGATTTAATTTTCAAAATATTAATTATCTGAAAATATCTATTTTAAAAAGTATTCGAATTCATAACCGGGAAACCTTTTACAAAATACCCAAAAGAAATACATATATTCTATAGTTTTGCGGTATACAATTCACATGTTGTATATCTTAATGGTCTACAACAACGTGAATCAACAATTTTTACTGTTATCCACCTTTAGTATATAATTATGTGAATTGTATAACGTATAAAATTGTGTTATGTAATATATTAATGGAAGAATTCTGTAAACGCATATAAGTGGTTAATTGTTTACACCGCCTAGTAATCCTGTAAAAGTCCTAAAGGATAATTTTTCAATAAACTTTACAGTTGAGTCAGTCGAAATTAATATCAACTTTTGGGTGTCAAGAAGTCTGTGAATTCTAATAACAAAGAAAACGAACAATTCCTTCAATTTCATCCTTATTTTATACTTTATTAATATTTATTTCTCCTATAGTATTACTACTAGCTATCTTAAAATTCCATCCATAAAAGCGGCTAATAAAAAAAAATTCACATGCAGCCCTTATAAAATACTGTACTCTTGCTCACCTTTTTCAAGTACTACTGTACCGTCGCCCGTCGGTATCTAAATGAAATTATTAAAAAAATTACTTATTTCTTTAGAATTTGACTTGTTCATATTGAAAGAATTGTTACACAATAGGATACGATGGTTTTTAATGCCTTTGTCTCATGCTTCTTATGTTTTAATGATCTAACAAACTTATTGAAGAACCAGATAGAGAACCTGACCATGCGGTATACATTTCAAATGAATAATGTCCAGTCTGGTCTCCAACAAATGAATGAACAACCACAAGGAAAAACACAACAAGGACCTGGTGATTTGGTCCCTTAGGGTTCTCCGGCAGAAGTACAAGTCAGTGACTGTCCGCAATCATTATAAAGAGGAACACAACAGGGACCTGGTCCTTTAGGGTTCTCTAACAAAAGTATAAGTTAACTGTACAGCTGGAACATAATAGCAGAAAGTGACTATCTCGCAACTGTTATAAACGAGGAACACAACTGGGACCTGGTCCCTTAGTGCTCTCTGACAGAAGTACAAGTCAACTATACAGCTAGAACGTAACTGCATAGAAGTGACTGTGCAGACAGTGCAACAGTCACTTCTCATTGGGAAGAAGCGTGTACCAAGATTTGACATCACTATCGATTGTGATGTCTTTTGTGATATAACAACCTGGTGCAAGGCACAACATTTCACTTGTGCATTCAGTGATATTCTCTCAAGCATAACAATGTTCATCCGGAATTGAAGTCACTGGTGTGTCAAGAACAAGAAGACAACTCTACTAAGGATCAGTTTCACAATGAGCTTATGTATATCCGTAGTTGAGTTGTAATCTTATTATTTGTTCTTCATTGTATTTCCTATTTTGCTTTCTAAGAAGCTTTGTCTTAGGAAAAACAAAAAATCTGTAAACTTCCGAGTTTATGTTGTGACTAGGATTAGTCATAAGTTTAAAGCCTTTGTAACTAGGAGAGTTATAAAGTGGCTTGTGGTGAGAGCATCACAAGTTAGTTGAAGTCTTTGTAATAGGGTTATTGCAAAGTGGCTTGTAATAGTTGTAAGCACGTGATTTTTGCCCTATGAAAGAATTACTCCCAAAAAATTCAAAATAAAATGATTTTCCTTGGTGTGCAATTTTGAGAATTTTTGTGACATTTTTGGATAATTATTTGTATTTGTCGGTGCATGTTTAATTGTTAAATTAATAAAAAATACAAAAATATGTCACATTTTGCATGTAGGATTTAATTCTACAAATGTTAGTAATTAAGTTTGTTTTACAAAAATTAAAAATTACAAAAATAGGCATCTTTTGCATTTTTAGCATTTAATGTCCAAATGTATAATTTTATGCTTAATTATTACTTAATTGTGCGTTAATTGTTATTGGGAGTTCATTTGCGCTTTTATAACTTAATAATAATTTAAGGATTTTTAGAATTTAGTTTTAAAAAAATAAAAGAATAAAGGGAGAGAGAAAAAAAGGGAGCTGAATTTTAAGAGAGAGAAAAATTTTGAAAATACTAAGACTCCAAAAAAAAACATTCTGGAAATTCAAGAGGAGAGTAGTATACACCTGATATACAATTTAAATATTCTGATATACGGATTCAGAAATTAAGGGTTGAACATTAATTAGTCTTTCAAATCTGAAAAGATTCCCTTATCTTCTATCCGTTGATTGTTGTCGGTGTTTCTGGATTTTTATCTTGATTTTAAAATCTGTCACTGGTTTCTCGTTGCTGGTTGTTACTGGTTGCTGGGTGTTGCTGTTGTTGTATGCTACTGAATTTCTGTTGATCTCCCTTTTCTTTTGCTTCCAATATCAAGTACACTACTGTAATACTAGCTATTGCAAGCTAATAATGTGGAAGCATGAATACATATGAAGAATGGAATTTTGAAGTGTTAATTTCGCTTTTTCTTTGTTCCTTTTATTGATTGTATTTAGGCTATTTCATGTATTATTGAATAACAATTGGAATAAGAGAAAATAACATAAGTTAGTCTTTAATGAATAGGTTTGGCAAAAATGGGTTAATTCACTAGTTATGAAGGTTTTAAGATTAT